CTCCGAATCGTTACTAGGACACTTCGGTACTCCAAACCGTTACTAGGGTACTTTCTTTCTCCAAATCGTTACTAGGGTACTCCGGTACAGCAATTTTGCTACGGTACAGCAATTTTACTACGGTACAGCAATCCGGTATTTCGTTACATCGGTACTCCAAATCGTTACTTGGGTACTCGGTACTTGAAATCGGTTTTCGGTACTTTTCAAAGTAACGGGTATTTTGTACCGGGTACTTGTCTGTAAACTTGACTCTCGTACCGGGTACAAGAAAGTACCGAAGTTGCCCATCACTAATCTTCTTGAAGTGCCCTGCATTTCGGACACGCCAAACTCCGCTTCAGAAGTCCTGACTCCTACAAAAATTCCAAAAATACACTTCGATCCACATAAATACACTCATGAACAAAAGACTCCTTAACAACTCCAACGTACCTTTTAATACTAAATTTACTTTGCACACAATCTAAAATACAGACTGAAATTTTCTGACCACATCTGTCATTGCAACATTCCATTTCAAAATGCGTACGACATGAACCAACGAGCAAATAAAACCACTGCAGTGAAAGAGTAAGTTTCAATTTCAAAAGGGTTGCATACAAACAACATTGTCCCTTAAACCAACACAGAACACACAATCGCACCAAAAAACCAGCGCAGAACACATATCACCCCATTTGGCGACCTGAGGGTGCATATAAGAGTAGTACCAAAGGTAGAAACTCATTACATATGATTGATTCATTTCTAAAATTTTAGTTTTAAGTTAGTAAAAATAAACATTGAGGATATCTCAAGGCATATATCATCCATGTCTGAAACAACAATTATTGGAAACAATAACAGTTTATATTATTCAAATGGAAAAATTGTTTCTTAAAAAGCTAGAAAATAAATTTAGGTAATTGTACAAAGCTGAATTGAAAGTACATTGCACAAATCTAAAGTGTGCATATTTAATATGGCCTTAGCCAGAAGAAAAGCCTGTGTTCTAAACCGTTCAATAAATACAAGGTACTATAGGACCTCATAACGACTAAAAGTACTATAGGAGAACCAGTGGCGACTCGTAATAAGCACTGTGGAACTGAAGCACCCCCTATTTCCAGTTATTATTATTTTTAATATTTAATATAGTGTGCCCTTTAGTCTTTAATTCTTTCTTTATACTTTTACAATACGTAATCCTTAAGCTTAATGTCAGTAGCCATCCCCCACATTGTGAAAAAGGTATGAAAGTCTTTGGAACTGCGCACTTCAGAGTTTCAGCGACATGGTGTTTGGCTATTCTGCGCATGCACACACAGAAAGGAGCACACAAGCAGGGCAGAGAGAATAGCATTGTCGCTCTTGTAGTGTCGAAATTCTGGCATGTTGTTGGAAACGTGATTTCTTTTTACTCCACGCGTGTGGTATTCCTCCACAAAGTGGAACTTCATCATACGGACCATAAACAGAGTTTATGAAAATTTGCAACCTTTAAAAAATTGTCTTACTGAAATTCAATCAACATCAAATGCAAAACAACAACAACAAATGAAACAATTGCTCCTATGCAAAAGCAAGAATTTTAAAATATCTAAATGGTGATAATTTTAAAGTTTTGAATAGATCTTTTTTATCAGATGCCTCATGTTGAAATAATATACAACTAAATCCAATCCAGAGAAATTAGTGTGTTTAAAGTTAACGAATATATAACAAATTTCGAAACTGCTATTTCAGAATTAAGAAACTCAAAGTACTGTGAGAATTTCTCAAAAGCATAAGCTAAGGAAATATGTGACTTTATACCATGTATTGATATAATGCACAGATATTCTTCCACTAAACACTTAGCAGCTGCTAAATTGTTAAACAAGAAATGCTTTGCTAGTTTTAGGAATGAACATTCTACAGAAGAAATAGTACTGACCGCTGAAGCATATTCAATGATTGACAAAAAAAAAGCTTGAAACTGAACTAAAAGTATTCTCTTGTAGGTCTGATATGCATGAATACTGCAAATTAATTGAGCTATTGAAATTTATCTTTGAAAATAACCTAGATGATGTTCTTAGTGAAATTACAAAACTGATAAAAATTCTCTTGAGAGTTCCCATGACTACATAAGAGGCAGAACACTGCTTTTCAACATTGAAAAGAATAAAAACTTTTCTAAGAAGCACTAGGAATTCGAAAAGACTAAATGTGCTTGCATGGCTTTCAAAAAAGAAAAAATTTCTCAGTTGTCATCCACAGATCAAAGAGAAAATTATTGATCTTTTCGTGCAAATTAAAGCAAGAAGAATGGAATTTTTAAATGAACAGACAAACATTGAACTGTAACAATTTTGGTTAAAGTAATTAAGAAATGTTTATTTATTTTTTTTAATAAATGTTTGTTTCCTTTTAGACAATTTTAAAACAAGTGTTAAATCTTTTGGAACAGCACCCTACCTAATTTCAGACACGAGCTGCCACTGATGAGAACTCAAAATTTTAATTCAAAACTGACTGTCTTCGAGTCATAAAAACTAAATCAGTTATATTAAACAGTGTGTAAAAACTCAAATAATATAAAAAACAAGATAAATATAGCAAAAAAACAACCAATTAAATAGAAATAACACATGTAGTGTAGTTTTGTCTTACAAATTGAATCTAGCTAGTGCAATAAAAGGTACAGAATTTTTGGCACTGCTGAAAATACATTATGATGAGTTAATATAGATGAATATGTTAGAAGGCTAAAGTATAGTATACAGAGGAAAGAAATTCCATTTTTATTACCAGATTAATTATGTCTACAGGTAGTTTACCTATCTGTCCCAAAGATTTGCTGCCACCTCTGACTGATATGGAAGTTTGAAATACAGCAGCATTTTTGATTTCTGAAACTGATATGTTTATTTTATGGTACTTTTTTTTTTTTTTTTTTTTTTTTTTTTAAGGCAGTACATCTTGCCCGATTCCTCCACATGTGAATAACTTTTTTACTGTTATAGGTCATATCTTTCTCCAATTGTTGCATCTAACAAATGGTGAACATTATTATTATTATCTTAGTGTAACATTTCTTTTCAGATTCACTTTGTAAACTTGAAATGCTACTAATCTTTAATAAAAAAAACTTTGTGTAAATAATGCATACCGATTTCACACAAAGAAACATTTCTTATAACAATCTGCAGTACTTAAATTAATATTTGTTTTCTTCTTTTTGTTTTTGGGAGTATAAAATTCAGACTAAATGCAATGTAAATTTATAGTTTTGGTACAAAGAATTTTGCTACTATAAAAATTCTAACTCTCTATATTGTAAACAATAGAGAGTTAGAGGTTGATTATGAGTGAAAAAAATTTTTTTAGCTAAAGCATATGTATAAAAGCAGGTAAATTCTTGATTTAAAAGAAATATACCTGTGTACATATTTCTAGCTATATGTTAATTTCAGCCACAGACTTCACAAATTTTATAGAAGACTGGGTATAAATCTGATCAACAATATCCCTAGATTAATTGATCATGGCAAAGCAATTCAGAAGTACTCCTCTTGGGAGACATGCATTGTGAAGGACGTTTTTACATGAAAAAAAAAACTAGACCAACTTACAATACGAAACTGCGGATTAACAACTTTAATACATTAGTAATCAAATCATTCATGAGTAATTTGGAGAAAATAGTTTGTACAATAGAAATTAGGTTAATTTTCAGACACAGTTTAAAGATTGAACATAATACAGAGTATTTTCTCATTATGATGACACCAATATTTAAAACTACCAGGAAAATATATTTCTGGAATTTTGTTAATGAGATCTTCTATGAGAACATGAGCTATATTAGATAAATGTAGAAAGATATTTAGCTAATATAGTTCAGACAGAAAAATAACATGAAATTAAAGCCCCCAGAATAAATTTAATAAACCTTATACTTCATATTTTCAAAAATCTCCTGCAAGTTACTACTTAGCAAAGTTTTAGATGATACTTAATTGAAATTCCTAGTAGCAGAGTATAATACAGTCAGAAGTCGTTAATTCGGACACCCATAATCCGGAATGATCTATAATCCGGACCTCAAAGCTACAAACTTTCTGCGCATGTGTCGCGTTCATGCATGCGCACAGGCGTTTATGAGTGCGAGTAAGACCTTTACAGCTGCGAATATGAGTGTGCACATGCGCGTTTAATGTGTAACGGACGGTATAAGCTAAGCTAAAATTATCTAATTCAGTTAATGTTGCAGATTGCGTTGTTCCTTAATCTTCGAATAGGATCCGGCTTATTATTTTTTGCAGACTGTTAGAGCAATTTTGTAAAAGTAAGCTTGAACTTTCGATTATGTCAAATAGAATTTTCGATATATATTTACTAATATGTAAAGGATCTAGAAAGCGAAAGTATGTTTCGAAATCCAAAAAAAAAAAAGGATAAAGGTATATCCTTTGATTATCTAATCATTCCGAAATATGTTTATCAATTTCACGCTGCTCTGCAGGGGGAGGGAAACGACGCAGCACGCAATAAATTGGAAGCTGATCAGTCAGCACTATCCTTATGTTCAGGACAGATGTTTTTATTTTATTTGGCTTATAATTCTTTACAAAATGTAGTATTTCATCTCGATGTACTCCGTCTTTGATATGATTTAAATCAAGTTCCTTGTCATTATAATTCGCTTCCAATAGTGAAGAAAGTGACCCAGAGATTATTGAAAACGAAAATATTTCTATTGACAAATTGGTCGGTATTCTCTACACAGCAATTATAGGACTTGAACAGCGGAACTTTGTAACTAAACAAGAAATTATGTCTGTTTAGCAGAATTAAAGAGAAAGTATTATCACATGAAACGAAGCAATTTAAACAACTTACATTGAAAGAAATGCTTAATAAAGTAAACAAATAAATATTAAGCTTTTCCTTTTTGTAAATTTTGATACCCTTTAGATCATAATTGTATTTTATTTCATAAATTACGGTTTCATATTTTTAATTTTGCAATTTCTGCATGCCATCTTACCAGATTTAAACGGATGATCTACAATCCGGAAAAATCGATAATTCGGAAGTCCCGACGAGTCCGGATTAACGACTTTTGACTGTAGCACTACAAAAATTTTCAGTGGTGTTTTTGTAACTAACAAAATGAATATAAATCAATGCTTAAATTTATGAATAAGGGTTTTTTTTTTTTCCTTCATTTTACAGAAAAACAATACCTTTCAAAGGAAAATGACATGGACCTGTGTCAAACTTTAACATGTTTGTTAAAAGTAAATAATACAATTATTTGCCAAATGTTATGAAGTCTACATTCTGTTATAGTCTATAATTCTTTCTTCTTTCTATAAGACATATAAAAGTAAAACATTTCTTAAAATTATACTTTAAAATTTAAAGATAACTAATTCAATATGTACAGTTTAAGTGAGCCTTTTGAATAAATGATATTTTGCATACCTCAGGGACATCAGGTTCTCAACCCGTCTGTTAACATGCACCTGCGTGAACGCATATGCATATTTAAGTGAACCTTTTGAATAAATGCCCTGTTACATAACTTACACACATGAGGCTTCTCTCCTGTGTGTATACGCATATGCCTATTCAAATCATCCTTTCGACTAAATGACTTTTCACACAGCTCGCACAAATGAGGCTTTTCTCCTGTATGAATACGTTTATGTGCATTTAAATTACACTTGTGTCTAAACGATGTCTTACATACTTCACATATATAAGGTCTCTCTCTTGTATGTATAAGCATGTGCATATTTAAAAGATCCTCTTGAATAAATGACTTCTTACATACCTCACACACATACGATTTTTCTACTGTGTGAATAAGCATATGTTTATTTAAGTAACATTTTCGAATAAATGACTTGTTACATACCTCACACACATGAGCTTTTTCTGCTGTGTGAATACACGTATGCTTATTTAAGTCATCCTTCCAAGTGAATGACATTTTGCATATCTCACACAAATGATGCTTTCCTGCTATGTGAAGAAGCATATGCTTATTTAAAGTATTCTTACATCTAAATGATGTCTTACATACTTCACATATATAAGGGTTTTCTCCACTGTGAATTAGCATATCTACATTTAAATTCCTCTGGTGAGTAAATAATATTTTACCTACTTGATAAATGTAAGGTTCGTCTCTTGTGTGAATAAGCACATGCCTGTTTAAGTGACTTTTCTGGATAAATGATTTGTTGCATACCTCACACACATGAGGTTTTTCTCCTGTGTGAATAAGCATATGCTTATTTAAGTCACCCTTTTGAATAAATGATTTTCTACATACCTCACACACATGAGGTTTTTCTCCTGTGTGAACAAGCATATGCATTTTGAAGTGAACCTTTTGAATAAATGACTTCTTGCATATCTCACATACATGAGGCTTTTCTCCTGTGTGAATAAGCATATGCATATTTAAGTCATCCTTACGACTAAATGATCTTTTGCATATCTCACACAAATGATGCCTTTCTGCTGAGTGAATAAGCATATGCCTATTTAAAGCACTCTTACGACTAAATGATGTGTTACATACTTCACATATATAAAAGTTTTCTCCAGTGTGAATAAGCATATGTGCATCTAAATTACTCTTATAAGTAAATAATGTCTTACATACTTGACATATGTAAGGTTCTTCTCTTGTGTGAATAAGTGCATGCCTATTTAAGTGACTTTTTTGAATAAATGATTTGCTGCATACCTCACACACATGAGGTTTTTCTCCCGTGTGAATAAGCATATGCTTATTCAAGTCACCCTTTTGAATAAATGATTTTTTACATACCTCACACACATGAGGTTTTTCTCCCGTGTGAATAAGCATATGCATATTGAAGTGAACCTTTTGAATAAATGACTTCTTACATACCTCGCATACATAAGGCTTTTCTCCTGTGTGAATAAGCATATGCTTATTCAAGTCATCCTTCCGACTAAATGACTTTTTACACATCTCACATAAATGATGCTTTTCTGCTGAATGAATAAGCATATGCCTATTTAAAGTACTCTTACGACTAAATGATGTGTTACATACTTTACATACATAAGGGTTTTCTCCCGTGTGAATAAGCACATGCCTATTTAATTGACTTTTGTAAGTAAATGATTTGTTGCATAACTCACATTCATGAGGTGTTTCTTCTGTGTGAATAAGGATATGCATATTTAAAGTACTCTTATGACTCATGGATGCCTTACAGACGTCGCATATATAAGGTTTCTCTCTTGTACTAATAAGCATATATAATAAATGAACCTTTTAAGAAAGTGTCATTTCATACCTCACATATACGTGCTTCTTCTCCTGCGTGAATAAGCATATGCTGGTTTAAAAGACACTTTATTCTAAATGATTTGTTACATACCTGAAATACAAATGATTTCTTTTCTATGTGAATAAGCATGTGCATATTTAAAGTAGTCTTTCAAGAAAATAATATTTTTATATACATGACACAGATGAGTTTCATTTCCTGTATGAAATTCAACACTTATATCCCCTTACTTTAAATGTTTGGTAATATACCTATCATTACTATCTATGAAGTAAGGAAAATTCAGGGTAATTTTCCAAAATTTAAGCATTAAAAATAGTAGTAAAAAAGTTAGTTATGCAATACTGCTTTCTACACACGTAACAAATATTGGCCTGAAGAAATAAAGGAAATGGGATTTAAATGAATTCTATCAATGCAAAGTTGAAAATTAAAATTGCATATATTATGCAGTAGATTTACTGTGCACAGGTAGATGAAACTAAACCATGGTAACAGATCAAGATTCTTCATTTTATTCAAAAATACTAGTCAATAAAAACATTTTAAAAGTTCCACAAAATTACCCTCTTGTTTTACACTTAAAAACTTCTTATCCTATTTTAAAATCACTTAATTTAAATATTCTGGATTTTTTTCAATTCAAGACAGCTTGGCATTTAAATGTGAAACCAAAATTTATGTGATAGATGTGAAAATAGATGTGTTCCATTTAAAAAACTTCCTTATTCCAAATGCCTAGTTGCATACCTCGCAGATTATTTTTGCTTATGCATGAACTTCGCTACAGCAGTCCTCTACAAAAAGACTCCCTCACATGATATTGCCGCCTTATATAAAAGTTTACAATTGGGTGCCCCTTGTTTTTTGGCGATTCTTTTTTGACGCAAAGATCGGCACCAGGAAGGCACAATTTCATGATGGCCGCTACACAAAACCAAAATAAGAGGTCAAAGAATTGTAGAAACTCTGTGTCCATGTACACATCGATCTATTTTCACCTAAGAAAAATATCCTAGAATTGCACAAACTAGGCATTGCGCACTGCCTTACATTTTTCCATGTATACATAAGTCTATTTTCATTTAAATAAAATCAGGAAGCTAAAACAAAGTTAAAACTATCACGGTACCCAGAAGTGAGGTTTTATCACCAAAATTTTAAAAAAATTGTCACGAATCAAAGGGGCACCCAATTCTGCACCAGAGCCGAAGCATATGCACATTTAACTTACTTATGCATGTCGTATTCTTTCTCTGCAGACAAGTATTCAAATATTCATAACACTGTTTTTTCCAAATCACTTGTTACATGCAGGTTTTTCACTATATACATAAGTGTCAGTTCACAATTTTTATATAACTTTCTACACACTGCATGATGAGTTTGGTATTCTGGATTAAATATAAGAAGTTAATTAAATCAAATTTTACTCAAATTAGCTCTTAGATGCTTCACACCAGCCTTTCCTATCCTATTACAAGTAATCATAAAAATATTGTACATCACCATGAAGCTCATTTCCATGCCTTGATTTCAAGAAGCAGTTGATTAAAAAATAATCATATATTTCACACAAATAGGACTTCCTCCCCAGTTTATATGCTATGATATACAGCCACACTTTACCTTAAATTAGTCTGGTATATAACACAAATATCTCTTTCTTTCTTACATCTTAGCACATTTCAGTAAATGTCATGCCTCTTTGTAGTAATGATAAAAAAAGCCAGAGTATTTTTTATGGTCACTGAATTGACGCTGTGAATGGTCAGCACACAAGTGAACACAATGTACATTTAGAGTGCTTAACGATGAATTCATATAGCGATATTCTACGCATTGCACTAGGAGAAGTTTCAACTTTTTACATTTGTTAGGCAGTGCATCACAATCACAAAGTGTTATTTATTGATATTATGTACATATAAATTTGCAAAGTACGTATGCATACAAATATTTAAATTATAACCTTTTGAAGTACTTTTCATATGCACCATTAATGTGAAGTTCTGGGCTGTAAGCAAATATTTGAACATCCTTTCTTGGAGAATGTTTTACAATTATATAGTCATGGTTTACAATGGATCAATTATAACATTATTTGGCAGAGCGCAGAATAGGCTGCATCAACAAAGTTCAGTAGGAGGAACTGCGTGACGTCATTAAATGGGTGGGACTAAACTTATGACGTGACATTGTAGTCTCGCATTTACACTAGGTGTACTTCAACGACTTCATATAACAGGTAGACGGCTCACCCACAGAGAATTCGTCTGCTAGGGTGTCTCCAACATATACCACGTGACTTGCTCTTGGCGCTCTTGGGGAGTGATAGCTTAGGCTGTTCATCGCCAGTTTGGCCCGCTTTTGAGTGCTTTTTATTTCCGTCTGCTAGCAGTCAGCAGACAACGGCCTCGAATTAGGTTGTTCGATTTTTTACAATTATATTTAGATATAACTTAACCCCTTTTTTCCTGAATATTTTATCTATATTTTTAATAATCGCTTTAAATTATTTGCACCATTGTTTAAGATGTTTAGGTTAAATAATTTTAGGGAGAAAATCTAAAGTAAATAATAAAAAATTGAGATGAAAACTTTAATTTTGAATAACGTTAAAAAATTAATTGCACTACTGTTATAATATTTGAGAAGGTAAAAAAATCTCGTTTAATTTTAATGCATTGCATCCTAAAGAGAAAAAGAAAATCACATTGTATTATATGTATTTATGCCATTGATTGCCTCTCTTTTCTTGAGATTATATTACTGGAACAAAATAATGCACTCTCTTTTCTTGAGATTATATTACTGGGACAAAATAATGCAATCTTAATTACTGATTTCCACACTCATGTCATGGCGGAGATCAATACATCTTATTAACTATAACATTGTTTCATAAGAATAAATTGAATTTAATTAAAAAATTAAATTTAAATACAAATTTAATTAAATATTCTTTGCGCCATTGCTGCAAGGAATGAAATTTAAATTTAAACAAATTTAAATTTAATTTTAACAAATAATGATGATTTTAACAAATAATTAATTAATTTAACAAATATTAATAAATTTTAACAAATAATGGATTTATTTTTCACTTGATTGCTTGATTATGCTTCTGAATTTAAATGATATTGTAGATTAGTGCCAGTATTAAATCTTTTATAGTTTGCACATTTTTTTAAAAAACTATTTTGGCTTTTTTTAGGATTTAAATTTGCTTTTTTACTTTTATACATATATGTTAAAAATTAAATTTAAATTTGTTTAAATTTATTAACTAAACAAATATTTATATTCAATATGTATCAAACGGTAACAAACTTCAACTCAGTATTTATTATTAGGATCAAAACGATATTACAGTTAAAAATTCTCTCACTCTCCTTTTTTTTTTTTTTTAAATACTATTTAAAATATGGTAAGTTTTTCACTCACATTTTTTCAATTACAATAAATTTTAACAGCATCGAGATGAGACAGAATTTAATCCAGATTATTTAATTGATTTTATAGAAAAAGGAAAGCATTGAGCTTTATAAAGTAATCTGATTTTTAAAATAATGCTGTTTAACTGTTTATGTTCAATGTGCATGAATCAAGATCTTCAGCTTTTTTTTAACAAAGTAAACATATCGTACAATCTTTTCAATAATTTAATGCTAATAATAGCATTTTCTTTTTTCATTGCAGGCAGTAATGTTTATGAAATCAAAACGCGTACGACTTGGCGAAAAAAAAAAGGTTACGCCAATTGGCGCAGCATTTATTTCAACGGAATGCACGGAAAAAAAAACATAAAAATTCAATTATTGTAAAGGGTGATTCAGTAAAATTGTCACAGTATTTAATACATTTGATGCTAATAATAAATGCTGAAAATGTTATACGGCGGCAATTTTCTGATACAATATGGCTGAAACTTTCCAACCATTCAACAGAGATAGTTAAAATGACAAAAATACTGAAAATAAAATAATAAAATGCAGTTTTAATTACTATAAAAGGTTACAAGTCCTCCTTTCAGAAACTTTCTTTACATCCGTAGGCGCTGCAGCGAATAACCATTTTTACTTAAATTTTGTGACCAAGCAGAGCAGCAGTCTTTCGTCCATAGAAAGCAATGTAAAGTATTCCGACTTTCGGAATTCGCGCAGCAGTCAAGTGACACTAAGTGGAACCGGTTGAAGGTTGCAATACGCTCTTACCGTATACTATCTCGTGGTGTACTTTCTATTTTCTCTTAAAAATAACAATAATAAATTGTTTATTATTGTAAATTAATATCAAATTCTTTACTTTTAATTTACATTTATAACATTTAAGCTTAGGCGTTACTGATAATAAGTATAATAAATTGTTTATATTTAAAATTACCATGATACAGTGAGCGAATTCTACCAATTATTAAAACGATAAACAACGTCGCAGTCTCTAATAGTTGTAGAGCTTCAATGTTTTCAAAGATTTTTATTAAATTATTATTTTTTTATTAATTTTTTTTATTTATACAAATAAACTATTTTTTTAAATTTAAATTCATATTGTGGAACATTTCAATTTTATCATTTTTACAAATTACCTTCTTGCTACGTAACGTAACGACATAACCAATAATTAGACAATTTTCATTATTTCTAAAAATTTTAAACTTACATTAATAAAAAAAAGAATATTTTTTATTGCATATGAACACATCATTACACAGCTTTCATATCAGTTTCTAAAATTCCTAAATCACGCCATATTCTGTGTAGGCATGCTAGAATTCTACGCATTAATAATAAAAAAATCTAATCTTCTCAGAATGAAAGAAAATAATATAATAAAATAAATACTACAAACTTGGAACACCTAAGCAATGCTTCACATACGCACACACACACATATTGATACAATGAATATATATACAATGAACTCATATTATCAAGTGCAATTACGATACCAAACACTACGTATTAAAATATGAGGTAAACGTTACTTCAAAGGGTTAAAGTTTACAGTTTTTGCTACTGTTGAGTCGATCGTCGGACTATCCATATATATCGTAAGTCGGAAAGCGTTATAAACATATCAAAAAACAAAAAAATTAAAAATACAATTTAAATGAAAAATTATGTCTTAAATATAATTCACAATTAAAACAACAATACAAATTTAAAATACACAAAACGATATGTTAAACATTGCACATAAATAAAGTTACATTACTCCTCGACATCACGCACAAACCTCGTTTTCCCTTTTACACAACGATCAGTATTCGCTCGAAAACATCAAAGAATTCCACAAACTCGGTGTCCATGTGCTCATTTATGTATTTTCACTTAAAGTAAAATCAGAGAATTGCTCAAACTCGGCATAGCGCGCACCACATTGGCTTTGCCCATGTGCACATCGATCTATTTTCACTTAAAAAAACATTCCAGAATTGCACAAACTCGGCATTGCGCACCACATTGGCTTTGCCCATGTGCACATCGATCTATTTTCACTTAAAAAAACATCCCAGAATTGCACAAACTCGGCATTGCGCACCACATTGGCTTGCCCATGTGTCACATCGACTATTTTCACTTAAAAACATCCCACAATTGCACAAACTCGGCATTGCGCACCACATTGGCTTTGCCCATTTGCACATCGATCTATTTTCACTTAAAAAAACATCCCAGAATTGCACAAACTCGGCATTGCGCACCACATTGGCTTTCCCATGTGCACATCGATCTATTTTCACTTAAAAAAAATCCCAGAATTGCACAAACTCGGCATTGCACACCACATTGGCTTTGCCCATTTGCACATCGACCTATTTTCCTTAAAAAAAAAAATCCCAAATTGCACAAACTCGGCATTGCGCACCACATTGGCTTTTGCCCATGTGCACATCGATCATTTTCACTTAAAAAAAATCCCAGAGTTGCACAAACTCGGCATTGCGCACCACATTGGCTTTGCCCATGTGCACATCGACCTATTTTCACTTAAAAAAACATCCCAGAATTGCACAAACTCGGCATTGCGCACCACATTGGCTTTGCCCATGTGCACATCGATCTATTTTCACTTAAAAAAATATCCCAGAATTGCACAAAACTCGGCATTGCGCACCACATTGGCTTTGCCCATGTGCACATCGATCTATTTTACTTAAAAAAGTTAGACATTAAAATAAATTCTCCATTGCTCATATACTCAGAAATTTGCTTTCACTTAAAGAAATCAGAACTGCAGAAACTCGCGCGGAACCAACTCATTGATTCGAGTTGCAAAAATGTGTCCAGAAAAAATGATAAAACAAAATAAAGCTGCCAGAATAAAGCAACTACCAAACATCCAAACTGCCATATTAGAAAAGCACCCAATATTTTACTTAAGTCAATAATAATAAATGAAACTTACCTTCAGTCCTCTCCTTTTGCAGAATATATGGCTGTGATCTCACTGAGAAATATACGCATCAGTTGGCTGGCGTCAGATTTCTTGTGTTTCCTTCTCCAAATATATTCCGCAAGATAGGAATCAAACTGTCCTTTTGCCTTACTAGAGCCACGGAAACTTTCTTTGATTGCCGCCCAAGTTCCTTCAATACTATTGGTATGCGCACCTGTTTCTGGATCTTTAAAACTCAAGCTATGATTGACTTTCAGGTGCGCATACCCTTCGAACTCGAGACAGTCGTACGCTTTCCAACAATCGGATATAATAATCGATCCTGGTAGAACATTCTCTTTAATGATTTCTAGCAATGTTTCGGCACCTCTGTTTTCAACAACTCTAAAGACGCATTTATCTGTTCCTCTCTCAACCAAACCAAAAAACCCATTTTCCTTCGACTCTTTTCCTCTATGATACTTTTGCTTGCCAAACTTGCTTTCGTCGATTTCGACAATGACACCTTCCCCACCCAACTTAACATTCTCCTTCAAACATAACTCCATGCATACTTCTCTACAAAAACTTTTCCAATCTGTCACCGTATTTTTAGCAATACGTAATTCCGTTCGTATAAAAATCATTCCCGCACTTAGCCCAACCACATATAGGTAACTCGCAAAACATCATACATGCTCCATTTACTCTTCGCAAACCAGTAGTTCTTTCGAACTGACTTTGAAATTCGATGCCTACATTCGCCT